TATTTTAAAAGATTATTTTCTAGATGTGGCAGCAGTAAATTTTAGGCATGCAGGCAGATATTTATTTTAAACAACCTTGTGAGAACCTCAGTTTCTGCGCATTACCTGATTGCATAATTCTTGTAGTGAATCATCTGCTGAAACAACAGAGGCAGCTTGTGCTAATAAATTATGCTATCAGGTACAAATAGCTATATGCACAGTGTTCAGGAACATGGTTTAATAGGACGTGTTTTATGAATGTTCCGTCTTCCTTTTGGGTACATATTCATGAAGAAGACTTATTGGCTTTTACTGAGCATTGTTCTAAACTCTGTTCTACTAGTGACTGCTCACTAGAAAATAAGGTTTAGGATCTTTTCCTTGTGTTGTGTCTCTGTCCATGGTGCTGAAACACTCACAGCCTCAACTAATATCAAACTCAAGCTGCGCTTTTGACAGAAAGAAATGGATAAACATATTGTTTATTATGACAAGTTCACCTGTGTGCATTAGTGTTAAGGTTAACTGCATCTTAAGCTGTGTCAGCATAATTTGTGGCATGCTGTCGATTACCACAGGAAATTATTGATATAAACAAAACAAAAATGTGTTTACAGTGACGCACAGTAATGGCACTCCATAAGGTTTAAAAGCAGAAAGAAACCTTATTTTTATTATATATGCATGTGTTTATTTGTTTATTTATTTTATTCAAAGTTTTGTGGTCTTAAGTTTAAGGAGTTTGTGTGTGTGTGTGTGTGTGTGTGTGTGTGTGTGTGTGTGTGTGCGTGTGTGTGTTTTTGAAAGAAATCACTTTTGCCTACCAATGCTGCATTTATTTGATCAAAAATACAATAAAAACAGTAATATTAAAAAAATATACTATTTAAAATAACTGTTTTCTAAATGTACTCTAAAATGTAATTATTCCAGTGATGCAAAGATGAATTTTCAACATCATTAATCCAGTCTTTAGGAGCACATGATTCTTCAGAAATCATTCTAATATGCTAATTTGCAGCTCAAGAAACTTATTATTATAAATGTCAAATATAGTTTTTTTCAAAATTATGATTTTTTTACAGGATTATTTGATGAACAGAAACTTCAAAACAGCATTTAAGTGGAATATAATTTCTTTGTAACATTATAAATGTATTTAGTATCACTTTTGATCAGTTTAAATGTATTTTATGTTTTACTTTCCCCCATAGATTCCCATTATAATTGATCTCTTTGCCCAACCGATGAAAGGCTAGTTCACTCTTACAGAGTAATTTGTTAGAAATAATGGTATTTGATTCCGTGTGTGTGTGTGTGTGTGTGTGTGTGTGTGTGTGTGAGAGAGAGAGAGAGTTCATTGAATTGTTGAATGGAAATGTTGATCAAAATAGAATCCAACTTTCTATCTTGCTCCTTACACTACTTTTTTGTTGTGTTTTTTTGTTTTCCTTCCTTTCATTCTTCTCCTTCTATTATTTCTGACTTTTGACCAGATCTTCTCTCGTCTATAATAAGTTTGACACAAAATATTGTATGACTACAAATAGTCAAGCAATATTTTCTGTCTCACTTGCATTTCCAATAGCTTTTTTTCTCACACCAATTATTTTAATAAATTTTTTTCTCCCCAAGAAAAGCAAAACTGCCAGAGTTGTGGGACAGTTTTAAATGTGCTCAGTGCCTATGTCTCTTTTTATTCTCTCTCTTCTCCTCTGGCTCACTATCGCTCCTTTGCTGTCTCTCCCGAAAGGCTGCTGTCACCCTCTATTCTGTCGTCCTTTTCCTGCTGTTGTACCTGCCGGAGCAGCTTTCATATCTCTGCAAATCCCCAAGGACACTTTCTGTCTTCCGCTCTCTAATTTTCTCTTGCTCCCTCTCGCACATGAACTGTATTCCTGCACATAGACTTCAAAGAGAGAGGGGCACTGCAAAATTCGCTGAAGGATACTCACTGTTTATGATGATTCAGATGCTGTTTTTTGCAATATGTAAAATCAAGCCAAGCTTATGGTAACATTATATGTGTAGGTGTTACTGCAGAGGCGCAACTGCACATTTGCTGAGGGTATGCAAGATC